ACTAAACCTTAGTAGTGTATCCTTCAAAATGAAAGGGGGTAACTGTGCTTAGAGCTAATCCCTGACACCTCTTTCTCCCTCATCCACAACATCCAGTCCATCAGCAAGCCCTCACAATTCCCCCACTAGAACGTATAAACAGCTCCATTTTCTTCATATCTATGGCCACCACTCTAATTTAACAATTATTTTCTGTGGCTTGGATGACCACAGCATGCTAATTACATCCATGTTTCCCCATCACCAATTCATTTCCCATAATGCTTTAAACTAAATTGACACTCTTCAGCAGCTCGTCATTGCATTTAAGAAAACTCCAATTCCCGGGAACCAGCAGTTAGCGTAATGGCTATGTCGCTGGACTCCCACGTAGTCGACCGCGGTTTGTGTCCCGGACCCGGTGGCTTAAAACTCACGCCGGGCGCGTGTGCGTGCGTGCCCAAGATCCCGAGAGGAGAATGGAGGAGAAGGGATTGCGGCGTGACCATCCCCCCCTGGGGGGTGATTTCTCACTTTCTGTTTCTATGTCTCTCTCTGTCTGTCTGGCGAGTGCACGCGCCCTACAGTGAAAATCTCTCCAAAAAAAAAAAAAAGAAAACTCCAATTCCCTAGCAGTGGGCTCCAAAGTGGTGTATAATTTGGCCCCTTGCTCACGGTATTTCAGCTGTGCTGGATTTTGAACATATTTCTCATTCCTGGCCTTTTCTCTCCTCAGAGTTCATCCTTCTACTAGAAACTCTTTTCTCAGCTCTTGCTTGATTGGCATAATACAAATTTTATTTCTTAGTTCAAATGTCACCCCACAGTGAGTCATTCTCACTCTCCCCACCCTCAGTCTTTATCCACCCTCTTTGACTTTCATTGCTTCATAGCACTTGTGATACTTTGCTCCTCGTAGAAAAAGGTCACAGTCCTGGTCCTCCATCATCTAACTGTGTGACCTTGTAACCGTATCTTCCCTCAGCCTCACTGTCCTCTTCTATGGATAATAATCATTAGGAGGAGAGAACACGAGCCAGGAAGTACAATACAGAAGAGCATCTCGACAGTGAACCCACAGACAGTTCCTGCCCTTGTGGAGTTTAGAGTCCAGTGGGTCAGGAGGGAAAAAAACAACTACAACAAAAACCATTACCCCAACCTCCAAGAGCTTATAATAAAATAGGAAAGACAAAGACGATAACACTCATTGTTCGTCACCATGAGTGCAGTAATAAATATGTGACAAGGGAAATTAAGAACCTCAATTTTAATGTGATCCTCCATGAGGATACTCTGAAGGAGTGAGTGAATTAATCTTAAAGGTTGAGGAGTTGAAGGACTAGGAGATGGTGTAATGGTTACATCGTTGGATTCCCATGTAGTCGACTGCGTTTTGAGTCCCAGAACTGGCAGCTTAAGACTCATGCTAGGCATGCATGTGTGCATGTCCAAAATCCCAAGAGGAGAAAGGAGGAGAAGGGATTGTGGGATGGTCATCCTCCCTCGGGGGTGGGGGAGGTGATTTCTCACTTTCTGTCTGTCTGTCTCTCTCTGTCTCTCTAGCAAGTGTATACGCCCTATAGCAAAAATATCTCTCTTAAAAAAAAAAGAGAGAGAGAGAGATTGAGGAATTGAGGCAGGGAAGGATATTCCTGAGGAAACTGGGTGAGCCAGGACAGAAGTTCACCAAAAGATCCTCGACCACAGGAATGTAGAGTTGATGGGACAATTCTGCCAATACCCTTGCTTGCTGATACTTCTGGTAAAGGGCACAAGATGAGGTCTAAATGATATCTTCATTCTTAGCACACTCAAGAAGAGCTCTCCTGCCTATATCTACTGTTCTTTGCAAATACACAGGACATTAATGATCTCACAGAGCAGACAGAAATAAACAGTAGTCCCTTCTGAACTCCTTTCTTTTGCCCCTTTTTAAAAAGAAATCAAGGCATTTGACTTTCTTTGAGCTAAGCATATCCAAAATTCCTCATAGTCTGCCACAATGGGTCTACAGTTGTAACCGCCAGTTCTTAGAATAACCCTGATTGATCTGAGTGTTTTGGAAACATCCAGAAAAATGTGTCCAGCATACCTGCAATGATTAAAAACTATGTTCATAATAAACATCAGCAACTAATACTATTTACATTTATTTTATTTCAGGAACTTCTTTAGACTGCATGCACAAAATTGATCTTTAGAACTGCCCACTGGTAGGTACTGCTATGATTTCATACAATGAAGAAATGGAGGCCCAGAGAACTTAAGCAATTGGCTCAAGGTCACTCAGAAAACAACTGGTGAGACCTGGAGTCCATCCAGGCAGTCTGTCTCCAGAGTCCACACTTTGCAGCTTCCTCCCATTACTCTGTGGTATCTCCTGAAATTTTAATGCTGCTTTTGGAGCCAAGACCCACACTCTGTACTTTTTTAAATATCTCAGAATTATCAAGTCCAAGTTGGAAAGGTCCCAAGAGGTAGATGGTCTGGTCACCATTAGTACTACTGGTCAAGAAGCTCTTAGAAAGAAATCGGTGTTTCCAAAGAATACTGTACCGACCACCAGGATCTGCTGGATGACTTTGATACACATGGTAAGCATTTTCTTTGAATAACTATGTACTTTTAAAATCTGGGTTAGAGAGACATTATGTTACTATATATATATATATATATATTATATATATATATATATACACACACACACACATACATATACACG